CGGGCCCTCCCAACCGCAACGCCTCCCCAACGCGCCCTCCCCGCCGCCAGGCGCCCTGCGGCGCCGCGCCTGCCGCCCCGCCGGCCCGCCGGCGCGCGGCGCCCGCAGCCGGTGCTCGCGCGGTCGACCGCGCGGCCCCCCGCGCGGACCAACAGCGGCCACTCGGCCAACATCCCGATGCGCACGCTGAGCCCCGACCCCAGCGCCGCCGGCAGCCCGGCGGGCACGGGCTGGAGCGCCGGCGGCGCGGCCGCGCCGGCGGCCGCGCAGCAGCAGCCCGCCGTCCTCGCCCGCGCGCCGCTGCCCGCGAGCCGCATCGCGCCCGCGGCCGCCGCCGAGGCCGCCGCGCTCGTGGGCGCGCGCGCCGCCGCCTCGGGCGGCGCGCCCTTCGACGCCGAACCCCTCCCGCTCGACACCGATTTCAAGTGGGCGCGCGACTCGTACAGCAAGACGCAGCGCACCGCAGACACGTGGGTGTTCTTCCTGGTGTTCCGCAGCCGCCTCGCGCTGCTGGACCAAAAGTGGTCCTACGCTGGGGGCTTTAGCGAGGAGAAAAAGGCGGAGCGGGCGAGGGGGCTGGCCAAATACCTGGTGGCCTCCATCCTGGACCTGGGGCCCACCTTTATCAAGGTGCGGGGGGGTGGGGGCTGGGGGCTTGGGGGGGGGGCCGGCGGAAGGGGGGGGCCGGCAGGGGAGGCGGACAGGCGGCTGCTGCTGCAGGGGGCGTGCTGGAAACAGCAGCGCCCGGCAAGGCGCATCGCGCCCGGCGCCGCGCCAAACACACGCGCGGTCGCGTCCACACGCGCGGCGCCCAATCGCACGTGCCTCTGGCGGGCTGCGCGAAGCGCGCAGTCCTCCCGCCGGCCTCACCATTGATTCGCCCAACCCTTTCACCCCATCCAATCCCACCACCAAAACAAATCCCCCCCCCCCCCCCCCCCCCCCCCCCCCGCAGGTCGGCCAGCTCAGCAGCACGCGCTCCGACCTGTTCCCCCCCGCCTTTGTGGAGGAGCTGGCCAAGCTGCAGGACAGGGTGCCGGCCTTTGCGGCAGACAAGGCCGTAGCCATCATCGAAAAGGACCTGGGCCGGCCCATAGGCGAGCTGTTTGCGTCGTTCGAGCGGCGACCCATCGCGGCGGCGAGCCTGGGGCAGGTGCACCGCGCGGTGCTGCGCACCGGGGAGGAGGTGAGGACGGGGGATGGGGCGCTTTCGCGCTTGCGCATGTGCGCGTGCGCACGCGTGTGTTGCCGGGGCTTTTGAGGGGGGCGGTTGGGCAGCCCCCGGGCCAGCTGGGGCCTGCTGCCTGCGGTGTCCGCGGCAACGCCAGGAGCAATTGCTTGAAGCGCTGTAAGCGCGGGCCTTGCGCGACCACCCCACCCCACCACAAACCTCATCGAAAGCGCGTAGACCCCTCACCCACACACAAACACACACCCACACACCCACACAACCCCCCCCCCCCAAAAAAAACAGGTTGTCGTCAAGGTGCAGCGCCCCGGCCTCAAGCAGCTGTTTGACATCGACCTCGAGAACCTGAGGCTGCTGGCGGAGCAGCTGGACAGGGGGGACGAGAACAGGGACTTCAAGGTAGGGGGGGGGTCAGTTGTAGGGGTTTAGCCAAAGGGCTGTGCTTTTGGGGGGGGGAGCCCTGGGGGCGCAGGGCTGTGGGGCTGCGCTTCACACGCTCCGTTTGGGACAGCCCTGCACGGGGCTTGGCCTTGGGGACCCCTCTTGGCACCCCCCATCCCATCAAGCACCGCACCTCCTCGCTCTCAAACCCCCTTTTTTCACCACCTCCCGCGCCGCACCCATCTCTCCCCCCCCAACCCCCACCCCACCACCTCAATCCCCCCCACACCTTACTCACCCCCCCCCCCCAGGGCATCTACCAGGAGTGCGCGCAGGTGCTGTACGAGGAGATCGATTACATAAACGAGGGCCGCAACGCCGACAGGTTCAGGCGCAACTTCAGGGGGGAGCCCTGGGTGCGCGCGCCCGTGGTGCACTGGGAGTTCTGCAGCAGCCGCGTGCTCACGCTCGAGTACCTGCCAGGTGGCCGCACGGGGGGGGGGGGGGGTGGTTGGGGGTTGGGGGGGGGGGGGTTGTTTGGGGTTTGCGGTTTTGGGTGCAGGGTGCAGGTTGCAGGGTGCGGGGTCGGCTTTTTCGGGGGGTTGCGGGCTTCCTGTGGTGTTGCAAACGGCCGCGGCAGCCGCGGCCCCCGCAGAACCTGGCCGGCTGCAGGCGGGAGAGACCAGCGCCGCCCGGCCTCGCCAAACCCTCCTCTGCGCGCCCACCCCCATGTCTCCCCCCCCCCCAAAAAAAAATAATAACGCAGGCATCAAGATCAGCGACAAGGCGCGGCTGGAGGCTGCTGGGCTGGACATCGACCTCGTGGCGCGCAGGGCAACAGAGGTGGGGTGGGGAGGGGGCGCGTTTTGTTGCGGGCACGCGCGCGCGCGCGGGGCGCTTCACGTGCAAAGCACGCCTGGCTTTGTGGCGCGCCCCAGCCGCGCGCGCGCGCGTGCATATGACAGGCATATGCCAGGCAAAATGAAATGAAACCAACCTGCTGCTCCCCCCCTCCGCGGCCCCCCCAAACAAACCGCAGGCCTACCTCATCCAAATCCTCCGCCACGGCTTCTTCCACGTGAGGCCCCACTCCCCGCGCCGCGCGCCGCCCGCGGCCCGCGGCCGGCCTCCGCGCGCCGCCCGCCGGCAGCAGTCTGCAGCTCGCGCCGCAGACCCCCCGCGCCCCCAAAACCGCCCCATGAAACCG